ATGAATATATCTATATGTTTCCATCAGTTCGTTTGTCTGCCGCGAACTTCCGCGTAGAATTTAAGCAAAATTTATTCAGTGTTCTCGTTTATGATCCTTCTTCCTGGCATGCTGACGTGTTGTGTATCCTCTTGGTTGCCTTCTTCTTTATCTGATTCGTGACATCAATGCTCACCGCTGGTTTTTCTAATGTCGTACACCCTTATTTTGATGGTCAGTGTAACTCTATACGCGAGGGACTCAGTGGGAGCTTCCCGCCACCGTGCTTATTTGACTTCACCTACATAAGCTCATTGAGACAACGTTGCTAGAATCTGTCAACAAGATTGCCAGTGCGATCGTTTTGCAGGCGTATCTTGCAATATCTCAAACAAGGGAAGGAGGTGGTCACGAATTCCTCATCATCTTAGGCGTGTCGCACCGATAGCATCTAAACGTTTCGTAATCTACTTCATACCACTCTGCCAAAACTACGCTTGGCCACCTCTCTGCCTCCGCTACTCTGAGTTGGCCATGGAAAACTGCACTCGCCTCGGCTACTGATGGTTAGGCACTGGCAACACATGTACCACCCAACCGACTTAACGGTGGCCAAGAGAGCCGAAACTCGTTAGTTTTCACTGATTTTGAAATATATCTCTTCATTCTCTGTAATATGGAACACCTCTTCTTTATATCTGCCAAAATGTGACTATGATTCACTGGTTTTATATGCTGAATGAACCGAGTATTTCCGTGTCCGTTTTCGGTAATTAATATTTGTGTGCTCTTTTTCGGAAGCAGAAATTAATCCATCTCGAATGTATGACGCTTAGCCTTTTTTGGGCATCCCTCTGGAGCGATTGTTCACTTTGAAATTGTGTAGTTTGTTCCTCTACTTTGTTGTTTTCTAGGAATATATCCGCTATAAATTCCATGACAAGGAGCATGTCTTTTAAGGCGCGTTTCCGTTTTAAGCCTGCCTTCGAGTGGCAACCATTTGCTTTGAGAAAACCAACGTTAGTTAAATATTTAAGTATGGCGTTAGTTCAAATGGCCGACAGGTTCATATCTTTCAATGCAACCACGGTTCTCACCAAGGAAGGGCGGGTCGTACAACATAGGATCTGAAACCAGAGATTTCTCTCGCCCACCGGTTGAGTGTGACCGCTGACACATCATTCCAAAACATCTGAAATCAAAGAGATTTTGGCTACTCAGAAGATGTCTGCAGTGTGCGGCGGCATCGGCACTAATAGAGCTAACTCGCACCAGCTGCACCATCAGATTATACCAAGCGCGTCGGACGATTGAGTAATGGGCTTCTGACATAATCTCCTGAGGAAACTTCAAAGCCCGCCACCTTGCGGTCCGAACGCTCGCGTCAAATGCTACGTGCGGGGACACCGAACAAGCCCTATATCCTTCCAATGCATGTGAAATGCATTTGTAGTCTGAAGCCCACCTACCAAACATTCGTGTTCGACCTGGCCAGCTGATAAGCCTAATACACCGTCTCTGTCCATTAGCCGGACCAACACTCACCTCTCCATTCGTCAAATAATACGTTGTGGTCAGTCGACTTGCCTGACTCCGAAGCTTTATCACATGTCTAAACTATCGCCCAGCACAATGAACCAAAATAGGTCCATACTTTGCTTAAAAATCTGATTAATTTGGCAGTCTTCATTGTTTGTGTGCCCTTTTTAAATTGAGCAGCAGGCATTCCATTGCCGAAACATACCTTTTTTTTCCTGTTGATATACGTCTTGTCTCCAAAAAGGCACCTAACTCCTCGCTTTGGTCGTGCACATAAAGCTCTTGGAATGCAGATATTCCGTTTCCTGTTGATATACGTCTTGTCTCCAAAAAGGCACCTAACTCCTCGCTTTGGTCGTGCACATAAAGCTCTTGGAATGGTCTCAGATATTCCGCATTTCGCTCTTCAACTGCCCGGCAGTCTTGATGCACAAGCAGTCTACGTTGTGTGAGTTACGCCTAGCCCCGATGCTGAAAGCGCTGTTTTGGACTAGATCGGCGTAAATGGTTGTTCTCAAGCCGTAGGAATTTACGGACGGACGAAAATCACTATTGATAGATTGGGTGAGAAGTGGTAATTCGTTATATCAGCATACATCCGACGACTGAGTTATTATTACAGTAACGCCAAGGGGAACCCCAGGCACGTATTGAATTAAGTCAGCTACGAGAATAATCACAAAGGCATTGAAAGGATTGTGAAGAGCCACAACGAAACTTAGGCAAATCAGTAAATTTAGAGACTATAATATCCAGGAACCTGTAGCATATATCACCAAGCCCCTTGTTTTGGTGCGCTCAGACATGTTCTCGCCTCATGCATGTTAGAACGGGAATGCCGCACCTCAGGTGCACAACGCTTTTATCTGAAAATCCTTTGCTAGTCGAATCAAACTTTCTGCGCCAAAAATCTTGCATTTGGTCACGTATGTGCTTGGGCCGAAAACAGAGAGATCTACGTCCATTCTTGGCAAGTTGTTTCAAACTCGCAGTGCCTGCAAAAGTGGCTTCAGGTATAGTTGTTGAGAGGTTGTGGGCCGTATCTTCTTGAAGCTTCACGGAATTTTAGAATGAATACATGAAGGATAACTGTTATATCTGCCGATTCGCCGGCCTGTTGTATCTGCTGGTGACCCGCTCCAGTGCCTAGTGTCGGAGAGAAAAAGACTCACGGAAGGGGACACAATAGCTATATTCCAACAAAGTGGTTGCGAGAGCGCGAGTGCGTGCGAGTGTGAGAAGTACAACGGCCTCAAGCTTTTTATTGGAAGGACACCGTGTGAACTTGGTCCAATGCTGACGCACGCTGTCTGGCTTTAGTACGAGGCAGCGACGTGCTGCATATTGCGGAGGCGTTGTCTGTCCTTGATCAACGCTGACTCGCGCGGTCTGACTTTGATGCGAGGCTGTGACGCGTTGCATATTGAGGGGGCGTTGTCTGTCTGGTCAACACCCGGCGGAGCTGACAGTCTCCGTAGATTCCGGGCATTCAGTGGTTGCTTTCAGGAAGCTGACCTTCCTGATAATAACTGTACAATCATCTAGTAATCAGAGCACTATCAATGTTTTGCGTCACCAATGAGTACACTACCTGCTGCCTGCCTTGCATGTCAAACGAAAATTCGAGGAGGCCGAAGAACCTACCAAGCTTTGTGTGTTTCCTAATAACAGGTGAGACGCCAACCACCGGCTCTCTAGTCTGCTTTTGTCTGAGGAGGCAGGGAAAACATCTCGCAGTCACCTCTTCTTATCTTGAACAAGATAAATCGATGTGTAAAGGAAGAGGAGTTGGGCACATGTCCCTTCTGTCGGGCAATGTGACTCTTCTGCATTCAGTTGCTCTCTGTTTCTAGAGCTCAGTCGGTTCCTGGCAAATGTTTCTTCCGGTTGCTTTAATTCACCAATTGTGGCTGTTAGACTACAACTTTCGGGAACAAGGTGTACCCCTGACACTTGTTCTCCAGCCACCGCTTGAAACTTTGGACAACCTGTGGTAGATAAGGTTTAGTGGATGGAACTTAGAAGGGCCATGGTCATCATTAAGCAGCTGATTGTTCACAAGTAGACTCTTCTGCGCCAGAGCTCAACGTCTGCAACTGACGGTCTGTTGTCTGTGGTCGAGGATAATGCACCTCAACCTAGGTGTTGGTCTAGGGACACAGAATCGGGTGTTTGTTTGCATAGTGACCGGCCTGTATGTACCAGTGACCGCTGGTGTGCACCGAATCGCCCATCATATTAGGCCGACTGTTGTGGTGGTGAACTCCGCCTGCTTACGGTGATGCTGTCCAGCCTACCTCAAAGTTGAATCCACAGATGAGTAATTTAGTTTCTGTTCTCACCCCTCCCGGGCCCGTCCAGAAAGCGCAAAGGTGCGCTTGCTAACCGGTCCGCAAAGAGGACATCTTATGATGACATAGATCAAAGCACGGAATCCCAGTACCATGTGCTCCGGTAGTCTGTTTGTGTCTGTATTTTCGGCTCCAAAGAGGAGCTATAGCTGTAGAGCACCAGCTAGTTCCGCATGGGAAACACGGAGGAAGTGTAAAGCCATCTTGCACTTCCTAGTCCTGTCCCAACCAATCCTAGTTATGTCACGGATATTGGGAAACATTTTTACAGAACTGAAGAGCTGCTACAAGGTGCTTCATTTTGCAACCGAACATGAAACTCAGGATTATCTCTTCTGATACACATTGAACACAACGATTAAATCAAAAATACCTGGAATGATCAAAAGGAGAACTGAGCACAGAAATGCAACGTGTTACTTGCCGATCCCAATCTTAAATCCGTAACATTCAAATAAACCGCGATTTGGTTTGGCAGTTTGGAGACAATTTTAACTTTTTTCCAAGACCCACCAACAGTGCCCTACCTGAGAAGTGCTGGTTCCAAAATCCGGACATTTGACAACCCAGGCGAGATTTTATCGTTGCTCAACCAATCCTAGTTATGTCACGGATATTGGGAAACATTTTTACAGAACTGAAGAGCTGCTACAAGGTGCTTCATTTTGCAACCGAACATGAAACTCAGGATTATCTCTTCTGATACACATTGAACACAACGATTAAATCAAAAATACCTGGAATGATCAAAAGGAGAACTGAGCACAGAAATGCAACGTGTTACTTGCCGATCCCAATCTTAAATCCGTAACATTCAAATAAACCGCGATTTGGTTTGGCAGTTTGGAGACAATTTTAACTTTTTTCCAAGACCCACCAACAGTGCCCTACCTGAGAAGTGCTGGTTCCAAAATCCGGACATTTGACAACCCAGGCGAGATTTTTATCGTTGCTCCACAACGTTATTTGGGACGCATTTGAAATATCACAAATGTTAACGCTTGAGTGGTGTGACTGATTTGCCAAGAATCTCGAATGACAACGCCGGGAGCCTACCGGTATGGCACATCAGTAAATCTGCTATCCGGTTACTGCCTATGTGTTTGAAGCCTGTGGAACGGCAATATTATGAAGCAAGCGCAATGCTTCCTCACATTGACGATGTCATGCGGAACAGGAAAGGAGCAGTTCGAAAGTGACTAGTGCAAATCTGATCTCTGTAAATCTTTCAAACAACAACCAGTTAATTAGTTTTTTATGGGTAGATAAATGGATCAATAACCAATATCCCATGAGCCATCTATAAGTATTTCATTGCATTGCGAAAGTGGACTACAGACAAAATGGAAAATTCCTTTATCCCTCAACAACAGCTGTTAAGGAACTTCAGCATCTAAGTGAAGCGCCTATAACACAGTCCATGCAACCTGTGATATATTACAGGCTAGATGCCTTCTTTCCAAAAACACTCCTCTTAACGCAGAGCATTCTAAAAACCTGACCGGATAAGTTTAAGTGGGTTTCAGTGTTCCCGGTACAATTAAGAACCGTTGTACAATCAGTCAAAAAATCCCTAGCCCATTTTGGTTTGGTAACATAATACAGTCATCCCGGTGTGCTGGTTTATCATCACGGAGAACCGTCCCAGTTTGGCTTACTTGGAGACCACATTTGCTACCTGTGGCAAAAGTTCACGGTTACTGATACCGCCTACAGTAAAGGTAGGCTGACCCCATCCGGTTGTTTAT